TCATACACAAATTATTTTAAATTTATATTTCATAAAATGTGATAATTAAATTAGCTATATAACTAGGTAATCAATTTAAGAACAGTAATCGTTTTGTAATCACTAGTTTGCTAATTGTGTCCTAGATATCAAAGAAAACTATGAATGAGCAATATGCGATAGTTTAGATTATATGAAGCATCGTAATCACACTTTATTATATGTGTTTTATTAGTGTATTGAAGTATTGGTGTTCAGTCAAAGAAATATCCATGACGCAGCTGTAGCACATAACGAAACGTACATAACATATACTAAACCATATACTATGTTGAACGTACAACAATACAATATGTACGTACGGAATACACATTGCAGACTGTACTAAACAATTTTTTTTTAGTGTATGCATTCTAAGCCAAAATTTATAAAGCATAATGTGTGTATACAATGCATTTTAGACTGAACCAGCTACAGTATTGTGTATCGAGTAGTGTATCAAGTCCAGAATATACTGAGACAGACGTAGTATATCAAGTAATGCATACATATCGGTGTAGACTGAGCCACGTATGCAAGACAGGGTGTATGTTTCGAATACATATGTTTCGTATACAATACAGTGCATGTATTCTGAAACAATAATGGTGTGTAGCCTACTCTATGTTATATACTATGTCATGTATCTGGCATAATATACTTGACCATAACACAATTTATAGGGTAAGAAAATGTGTATATAATGTATTGTAGGGATCCAGATGTGTGTTTGGGATAGTGCACACAGTTTGATATAGATTAAGCCAAATGTTTCGTACATAAATGTATACAAAATTATATATTTTCAAGACCAACAAGTACGACCTATACATGTTTAGTGAAGAGCACACCATGGTATAACGTGCCTATACAGCGTCAAATAGCCAGATGTAACATCAAACGAAGTGTATGCAAGGCAGATGAGCCAGAGCCAGATGTTGTGTATAGTGTATGTAATACTGGGTAAGGATATGGGCTTGCTGTGTAAATATCGATACTGCAGGCTTGGCCCAGAGCCAACCATACAATCCAGTGAGGGGCTCAACATATTGAGTTTAAACAAAAATACACCAATGGAATCTCTTTTAGAGCTTTTTGTGCAACAATGATATTGAAAATTTTAGTTTGTCACGTGTTTTGTCACATTTAACATGTTTAACATTTTCATTTGCTATCGGTTAATGAAATTTCTAATGGTATACGAAAATGTGGTGTCTGTATTCTCTTTAACAAAAACCCTGTAGACCTAGCTGTGATCTAGCGGAAACAAAATTTAGGGGCTGTTGGTCCCTGTGGAAACTAATTTTATCTATGATTTGCCAATGTTTAAGAAAATATGAATAAGGAAGGTAGTATGCATTAATTTAGTGTTAACAATTATATTCATAGATAATAATACATTGAAACTATTGCTTCCACTTCGATACAATATTAATTTGTAACAAGTGTCAAATGCATCTAACTATGTATTTTAATAATCTAATTAATATTCAAATAGTCGTTTGTAAATGAATACACATTGAATTTATATGATGTTATAATTGGGTTGTTATGACTGGTGTGCACAATATTTACTGGTATTATTTAGTTTCTCATAACATTAATTAAACACGTCACCTATCAAATATTAATTAGCTGTTTCAATAAATATTCTTTTGCAAACAATCACTGAAATGTTAACGTTATAACTTGTAACAAACTAGTGATAATCAACACTTAACATTTTTACAGCCATGTCAGATGCATTATTTTGCCGTAAAAGATTTGGGTTTTCAGGAAATTCGTAATGTTTAACTATTATATTTCCAAATAATTTCCGGGTACCTTCCCAATAATACAATATTAAATATTTTTCAAAACTAATAATGCATATATAAGTTTTTGTAATCTGAAAGTTAAATTGGTTAGTAAACTCTATTATGTCGATGATACTATTTAACAGTCTTCCAGGCTTCAAACGGTAAACTTATCCCAACTGCCTCCCAAATAAGGGTAAACTTATTCATAGCCCGGTGCAAATAAACTATTAAAATAAACTAAATCGTTTAATGATTTCATTGTGCTCATTTAGTATACCTATTGTATTGTGTGTTACAAAAATGAAAATTGTAAAGGCAATTGAACCTCATCGAGTGTCATCTTTTCAAGAATTCACTCTGACCTTGGTAGAGAACCAGGTCAAGAAGGGGGCGAATAGTATCAAGTTGCAAGAAGCTGTACAAGTATAATATCACCCACACTTACACGGTTGTGTTACATAGGAAGCAGGGATATTATTACTGGAAAACAAAACGTTAGATGGGAACTTTATTTTGTCATAAATAATTTAAATAAAACATTTTTCATAAAACAATTAAAGTAACAAATTAAAATTTGGTAATCGATCAAATCTTTTACAAAGAAAGTAGCTGCAAAGGTTGAGGTTTACGTTGCAATCCACAGTAATTATCATAATCTCTATTCGTACATGCTATTTATGGCTGACAACGATATAGGCTTAACACTACGGATACTCAAGTGGGATACATTTAATGGTCAATGTATCTATTACTTATGTACAATGTAGGTAATGTGGTGTATGTCATTTCATGTTTCATTTGGAACACTGTACTTATTTTATAATTTAAATATGTATAACATCGTTCTAACCCCCCTTACGACATATTACGACGTTTAGCTAATTAAATGATTACTAGAAAAGTGATAACTACATCCAAAACATTGGACGAACTAGCTGGTCTAGTGTAGAGCGCAGGGCTTCAGTCTATGAGGTTTCGGGTTGAAATCCCGCCATCACCAATTTATTTTATGTTAATGATAAAACTACGAACCTCTAGGCCTAGCCTGAAAAATTTAAAACGATTCTAAGCTTGAGATTTTCGTCCTAAAATGTTAAGGTGAAACATAAAATAAACCTCCCTAACTTTATCTGCTATAGTGCAGTTTGGATCCTACAAAATTGTTGAAAGATAAAAACTATTTCAGTACAGGTAGTAATAAAATATCCTGAAAACAAATTGCACAAATATTACCTTTTAACAAAGCTGAAAATATTCTTACAATCTTGGTTAAATGTAAAAATAAATGTTAAATCACGACTGAAAACACTTGGGAAAATGAATTATTTGAGCTAGAGATTGAACAAGACATAGTTTTAAGAGAAAATAGCACAGTGAAACTATGTCGCTGGAATTTATTTCATCCTTTATCGATAGTGGCTATTGGAGAGGGTTATTGGATAACTCGGTGTGCTCAGAAATTGTTGATAGCACCCCGTGAACCGAGGATAAACATTACGTTGGATCTAACTTTTCAATTTATGTTTTTGTAAAAGTTTCAATTTATTAAAATATCACCTTATTTTATCTTAAAACCTCAATTTAACTTAATATAACCTCAATTAAAGTTTACCATCCTCATGATCAATTGATATTTTAATTAACTTGATAGGAATGTTAAAAAAGGTAATTTGGTTAATAATTTTATCGATCGCCTTCGTTCGAACTTATCCTGAACGTTTAAAGATCAGAACTATGGGCATACTTAAATTTTAGAATAATAGAGACTCAAAGTGCTCAGCACTTAGAAAGACAATTAAGCTAATTTTCTTGTAAACTAAACTACGATAAGTTTTATGATCACGCAAACATAAACAACGGTACTTAAAACTTTGGATAGGTTTATTTTTGGTTTGCAACTATTATACTACTATTATACCCTGGATGGAAACTTGAGCAAAATATGTTTTAATACATGACTCATGGAGGTTAATAGGTTTTACCTTAAAATGCTGTAAACTTTTGTAAAATAAAATCAAATAAAGCAAAATCATGCATTCCATCGCGGCTGTTTACTTTATCATTGTATCCAATTCATACATTAAAAAATTGTTTCATAAAAATAAAAAAACATACACATACAGACCAATACGTAGTGCAATCAGAAGGTTTGCATTTATTTTGTTACTTTTTCAGCTACAAAGAGAGCTGTTTGTTACTAGATGTAAACTATACGTGAAAACGATCTGAAATCCCATTTTGGACAGAGAGGACGTTATTCACGAGAGGGCCTTTGTTCATCTCACAGAGCAGACGACAGAGTACAGACTACACCCCCTGGCGAGCAGTTGATGTCTGCCATGCGGGGGTATTGTCCCTCTCTTTCTGTCTCTGCGATGTTTTGTCTTGACAGAGGTCCTCATTAGGCTGGTATTTTAATTACAGGTGGTATATGTGTCTGTGGACTCGAAAAGGATGCTAATTTTGTTCATTCATTTTTCTTTTGGAATTCTTAGCCCGTGCTTTACAACGGGGTGAGGCTGCGTACAATGATACATTTTTGGGCCACTGTAGAAAAAACTGTTATTGTTTAAAACACAGATTATAAGAAAATGTATATGTTGTATAATGTTTTATAAGGATAAGAATACGTGCCTTTTTTTATATCTTGTTTTATTTTTGATTGGGTATGGAATATGTATTTAAATTTAAACAGCACTCAAATCAAACAAACTATGTCGTATTTTTAAATCTTTCATCAGAACAATTGACATTACTTCCATATCTTCCCCTCAGTACTTTGAAAGCGTGGGAGCAGAGCCTTGAGGCGATATCAAATCGCTGCAATAGACTTATAGCCCTCGTTGTTAGTAGTAGTTATGTTTTGGCAAACTCTCGCCTAACTGATGCAGTGGCTTTTCATGATGGAAATGTAGACCACAGATATACCGCATTAGGTATTGTTATAGTGTACACAAAAAATAAATTTTCGTAGTCTGGAATGTTGTATTCATCAACACCTACCGTATGTGTCAAAAGGGTAGCACTTAAACCACTTTCAATTATTTACGTAGAAGCTACGTAAACAAGGATATTCCTGCTGCCGGCAACTCACCCCTACTTGGGCTTGGCGCAACTAGGAATACTTTTTGGGACCCTTTGAGGGCTTGGCGCAATTAATGCATGACCTTCCAAGGTAATTACCTAGGTAGAGGGCGCGGACCGTCTGCAGGAGTGACAGAGACCAGATGACATCAGCTGGAGTCATCGCGCTACATGGCAGCTGCGGCGCCCTCTGCAACATACAACATTGTATATCAGTTCACATACCTTAATATGGTAGGGTGTAATATCAGTTTAAAGATATTAGTCATCATTTGCAGGCGATATTTTGTTCCTGCCTATTTGAACGCATCTTAGTAACATACGAAGAAGTTAAAATATCAGTACGTGCATAAGAGTTTCTAAACATTTTTTTAGAGGTTGGCTGTCTCCTTTAACCTCGCATTTGCCCATCCAATTATGTTACAGACCTGTGCACGGAACAGTACAGGGTAAACGGTACTGATCAAGAGTATTGGCATGTACCAGGAACCCACATCATTGACGACATTACTGCCTTGGGCCACTGAACAATTGTCCATGATTGAAAACACATGTTTACAGTTAAATATTAATATACAAATTCAATCCATGTTAATTTTTTTATTCTGGGATTCGGGAACAAAACTAAATATGTGGTAAAAATAATAATTTCCTATGGCCAAAACGAATGTTAAAAGCACAAGTTTGTCAACTATTGAAGTGTGAAGCTGTAGCACGCCCGCATTCCTCAACTCTTGGTCCAACAAAGCCAATGAGGATGTCCAATAAATCAGTTAGCAGCAAGTAGCAATCAATTGTCCTTTTAATGGGCTAGTTTATTGTCACCCGACATAAATCCAGACCGTAACACTTGCCATGATGCGGGTGTCATGAAGAAGGAAACTGCACTTGAAATTGACCAATTGAATTGAGTATTGGGTCTCACATTGGCAATCTGTGATATTTTTCATGCTTTACATCCTAGGACGATAGGTTGGTGATCGTTTTATAGTACTTTAGGTTACGCCTTGACCAGAGTGTTGTGGAATTATCACTTAGGTAAAATTCATTAGTGATTGGTGAGATTTGAACCAGGAACCTCACGGTTCGAAGTCTCGCGCTCTATCACCAGGCCAGCCCGATACTCCACATTCTGTACTTTGGTTGACATAATACTGTATTTAACCTTTGACTATTAATACAACAACTGATTTAACTTTGATTTACAACTGCGCACTTTTTTATAGAGTCAGGTTTGTTAAGGAAAGTGGGTTGAATTCTTGCATATAATTATTCAGGAAGGTATCCATTTATTCCACTTATTTTATTGGATTTTGATATGAAGGAAAACTTATTGTTATATTGTAAAATCTAAAGAATATCTTAGTGTGTTTTGAGCCCGGTAGTGGTAAAATGGTATGGTTTTCCCTTTTTTATGGTAGATTTGAATACCTAATTTTTATTTCATAAAAAATATAGACTATTTTTTCATATTTTTCTTTAAGTTGTATTTTCTATTTAAAAAATTACATAAATAGTTAAGCTATCGAAGAAACTTAAAATCGCGTTCAATGTCAAAGATTAAAGAGTATCTTAATTTATTTCATATATAACAAAATGTACTCTGAAAAGACAAAGTCGTTTTGAGATTGTCTATCCGAGTATTGTCAAGCGACTTTTGAAGGCGGTAACCCATATCTATTCCTGAAAGGCCATTGTGATTGACACAATAGCCCATCCATGGTAGAATGATTACAGGGTCTTGTATGACGTCACTGCTAAATATGAAACAGTTGCATAGCTTGTGATGTATCTGTGTAATAAGATTAAAGGTAGTTAGCTACTATTACAATCATTGATTAGGGTCAATGGCATTGCAATTTCTTTTAATAAGCCAATCGTGGAAATGAAATGGAATGAAACATTCTTTATTTTATCAGGCAATTCTTACACTTAACCTGACATAAGTAAATATATCGTTGTGCTGGTAGTAGCTTGGTTGGTGTTGTAAAAATACACGTAGATAGTTGAGATATTATATAATGCTATTTTTACGTAGTATTTTTAATATCAGTAGTAGTATTACGTTAAGCTAAAGTATGAGAAAATGTGGTTCCTCAAAACTAACATAGATAGAAGATACCACCATTGATCTTAAAATCTTAATTTTGTAAATTATTTAAAACTTATATGTATATTTCCGTCTAACTTATTCAGCTATCTGAATTAATTAAGTTATATTCTTTGTTAAATATATTTTTTTAGTTGTAACCAACCAACGATAAAAAAAACTGTAGTTTTAGCGAATTTCCCTATAGGGAAGTAGCTATTACCGTAGGTGGCACGGTAAGACCTAGACCCGGGACCGATTTACTTTTTCATTTTGATGTCCCCAGAGGCCAAAAACACCATTCGTTCAAATTATATATATATATATATATATAGACTTATATATATATATACGTCCATGAACGCGATAACTTGAGTAATTTTTGTCCGATTTTGATGAAATTTGGTTTAAAGGTGTAAAGCGGGATAAACTTGAATGAGTTCGCGAACCAGCACGATCGGACCATGGGAACGGGGCTTTACGGGGGGTTTTATGGGGTAAAAATTGGGTTTTCTCACTTTTGACCCTCAAAACACAAAATTTCCCGATTTCTCTTTAGACCTTTTTAAAGAGCTTAAAAAAACAAATTATTTAGTATATAAAAGTATTTTTGTTCGATTGTTAGTAACGGAGAAAATTTAAAAAATTGTAAATTTAAAATTCCCATGTTATTTTTATGGAGAATATTGTCAAATGTTGTAGTTTGCTTGTTTATGGATATATTTTGATCAAACTTGGCAAATTATTTATTTTGTACTAAGCTATCAATATTTTACTCAAAACACACTTTATTAGTTTCCTTGTAGCAGCAAACCTAGGTACTCGTTAAACCTAATGTTATTAAAATATATTGAACTGAAAATCAATTCAAACAAATGGAAATTCGCTTAGTCGGCAGGTTTGCTGCGGCGGGGGTATTTTATACTAAGCTACGACCCACATTGTCATTATGAAGGTCTTTCCTCTAAGTTTAAATATTAGAATGACAATTTCATAACACGTAATCTGTCTTTTTGCTGAGTCCCAACTAGTTCGGCCCATTTCTTTAAAAGACATAGATTATTTTATATCTACAGAACAATAAAACTTTGAATAACTAACAAATACTAATGAAGTTAATTCATAATTCTTCACTCATGAAGACTAAAAATGTATATAAAATACTGTTTATACAACTTAGTCGATAGTTACCAACTAATATTTAAAATTAAAAGTATCTGTGTTTGTCAGTTTTCAAAATTCTACAAGAATGAGGTGGAGGGAAGACTGTAGGGGGTTAGTGTTGATAGGCCTACCGAGCGATGCTTTGAATACTGATCAGCTGCTTGGTTACCTTTACCTTGCAAACCAACAATGTAGTTTGACTTAAAATGTTGATTGTAATAACATAACATTAAGCAACAGGTAAGCTCTAGGGTGTAAAATATTATGTATGGTATATTTACTGCTTATAATATATTAACATTGCCTTGAGAGTCATTCATTGCTCTATAATTACTTGAAAAAGTTAATTTGTATCATTTTGAAGGATTTTGTAATTTTTACAAATTTTACAATATTGTAGACACAGTCATGCAGAAATTAGTCAACACAATTGCTTCAAAGTATACAAACTAGATGTATGGCAAGCGATTAATTACATTAGGAAAGTTTTTTTTCGATTTTAACTTTTACTTGTAAACACTTATGTTACAAGATTTTTGTAAATTTTTATTTATTTAACCTTTTTAGTGTTCCGTCGTTTTTCAGTCTTAACTTAAGTGCTAATCTTCTACATCTACATGGTTAATAATATAATATTATGATCAATCAGGGAATTAAATTCAAATGGATATTTCGACGTTTAACCGGTTATATTCTAAAAACTTTCAGTAGTTGTTTTCATAGTTTAAAACCGAATCTATTCGTCTTTCAAAATTGGAATTTTTTATAAAAAGAAGTGCTAAAAACGAAAGATTTTTATAAAAAGGCTACGTAATTATGTCATCTCATTCCATTCTTAAAAAACCTTGAATTTAACATAATTATTCATATTTATCCAATGTCCATATATCATATTCAGCTTATATAAGTAGAGAATGCACGTTTTTCATCTTAATAGTATGTTCAATTAAAAACCGTTGTGCTGAGATATTTTTTAACGGAAACATTCCTCAAAAGATTATAAATTAGTATTACCACAATTAATTGTTATTAATATCTTATGGGTACAATTAAAAAAGGTTCAAATGTAACACTTTTGCTGTAGGATTTTATTCTACAGTTTCATCCACAAGGGTACACGATTAATTATTTGCTAATGTTCACCCTTAGCGTGAGATATTAGGTGGAAGTTTGTGAAACTTTGTGGATCCCTAGAGGACCCCATTTAGTACCCCTTTGTGAGCCCCCTTGTGAACCCCATGTTAAATCTCGGCTACTTGAGAGACAGTTATTCCCCTGCTTTTCTACTATCAGTAGGCTACTATGACTAATATTTTATTCCAGGAGAAAATCCCTTGTTTTATAACACCCTATACGCAAACTATAATAGGTTTCCTATACTGTTAATTTGTCTTTTCATTCAATTAAATATTTAATTTTAATGAGTAAAAATGTTCATTATTTACTTGTCTTATTAATTCAATGTTTTAATTTTTTATTTACATTTTTACATTGTACGTCAACTAAATTAAAACTTGGGCAAACGTTGTACAACATAACCAAACAGAAGTCTGGAAAACTTGCATTTACTAAAAATATATATAACTTTTGAGTTTTTAATTTTAAAATAATGCTTATGTAATTACAAATGTTATAGGCTTAGTTGCACGAAATAATATTACTATGCCGCTAAATAAACCCTAAAAAAATATCAAACTTAAATAATATGTTTTCTTTAACCTTGGCCTCAATTAAGCTCATTTTTCTATTGCCAAAAATTTCATTTTGTAATTTACCTTTTTACAACAAAGCTTATGGATTAAAATGTAACTATACAACATTTTAACGTACAAATACATAGAGAAATATTAGCTGTGCTGTCTTTTTTCTCATTTCCATCGTTATTTGACTAACACAAGCCTCACTTTTAGTCAAGTAAAAGTCGACATAACATTTCT